AAGATATACAGCCCCTTTATGGTTTTCCCCACTGGGAGAAAAAGAGCTAGGAAGGAGCACGCAAAACAGCTGGAAGAGAAAGGGTCAATCATTGCCCCTCCCCCTTCCCTGTATTGCACTTCACTTCTCATAGCTGTGTTTCATTTTTTTAAAACGGGAAAGAGATACACAGCTGTGTTATCACATCAAATTTGGTCCTTATATTTCCCTCTCTATAAATTGTATACAATGGGTATATATCGATAAGGATGTAGATACGATTTTTAAAATAATAATTCTCTTTGTCTTTCTGGTTTACGTTAGTTATATTTCTGTTGGTGCATGCCCACTGTTAGTGCAAAACTGGTTCAGAACCCATTACTGTCATGTATGAAAATGCCCCAGAGTCCCATAAAACTTGATGGTACCGTTGCCGGTTTCAACATGTTCTTTTACGCCGCAAGTAGTTTGAATAAAGTTGTGACACCACTGGAACTGTACAGAGTGCACAGCTGGCATTTTGCCATGTGTAAAAAGTGAAGCTTTGAACGTGAACTTTGAGAACACTCTGTAAGCTACAGGGGTGCATTGGGCATTACTTATGCCTAATGAAAAACAAATTGCAAAGATTATTCAAATGCATAGCATTAGGAAGAAAAATAATAATCCAGACATTAAGAATTGTACCCCATACAACTTTCCAATTACAGCAGTAATCTTTATTTAATACAGAAATTGGAAGCCTCAAGTGATTTCTTTTACATACTAATTCCTTTAAGCATGGGTTGGCATTATAAAAGAATAACTTGGTTATTGTATTGCAGAAAGATTGTGTTTGTTTCTCCTTGGAGGAAAAGAAGGCCAGACTTCCAGAGTAGAAAAAAATGGATGAAGGGCAATACAGTTGGGATGGAGTTACCATTTCTGAATTTTGTTGCTTCATAGTAAAGAGTTTGAAGTGTGGCCTTGTTTTGACAGTTCAGGATTTGCAAGCAAGTTTTAGATGTACATCAGACATCTACAGCAATGAATAGGACTATATATTATATGGTCTACAAGGCTATCCATACAACTAGGGTGATAGGAAAGACATTGATGTTAATGTCAGCAAAACAACATGAACTGAACAACTTCAGATAAATATAACTCCTGTGTACAAACCTTCACACCTTTGTGTTCTGTTGCCATTTTGTTTTGTATATTTTGTGGTGCTCTTTCCAAAGTGGATTTGTATTCACATACATTATTATGCACTAACATAACCATTACCGTGTTTCCCCGAAAATAAGACACTGTCTTATATTTATTTTTTCTCAAGAAGACACACTAGGGCTTATACCACAAATGCATAGAAATCCTGTTAGGGCTTATTTTCTCAAGAGGGAAGTGACGTTTTCAGCCTGTATATTAAAAACTCATAAACGTTTGAACATTTTTAAAAGAATTTTTCCAAAGAGGTTCCAGAACTCTGTTCTGGCGTGTTCCCCCCCCCCCAAAAAAAGCCCTGATTATGAGCAAGGGAAATTGTCATGAAACGTTCCAGGAAAACAAAAGAGATTATTCATAACATTAAGAACATAAGAGAAGTCAATATTGGATCAGGCCAATGGCCCATCCAGTCCAACATTCTGTCTCACAGTGGCCAAAAATACCTGGTGCCATCAGGAGGTCCAGCAGTGGGGCCAGGACACTAGAAGCCCTCCCACTGTTGTCCCCCCCAAGCACCAAGAAGACAGAGCATCCCTTGCCCCAGACTGAAAGTCCCTATCTTTATCTTGTGGCTAATAGCCACTGATGGACCTCTGTTTAGGATGATTAGGAACCTTTCCTACATTAACGGAGCACCTTGGAAGCTACTTCCCTGTGAGCTTGTCCCGCGCCACTCTAGTAACATCTGTAGGGTGAATAAACTGATCATTCCTTCCCACACTAGCACTACCCCAGCCTCCAGAGTAGAGTGAGACGAATGCTTGAAAATATCATGCCATCCAGCCAACACTGCCATTGTGTTGCAGTTCAAAGACCTGTGTATATGTGAGGATTCGCTGTGGTAACCTGACTCTGACAGCACAAGATTTCCACAGTTGGCAAAGTCTACCAGTACAATCCTAAACAGAGACATCCTTCTAAGCTCATTGGCTTCAGTGGGCATAACACTGTTTAGGATTGCACTGTATTATCACCCACAGTCAACAGAAACATATATTATTTCACAGAATGCATTTTACTAGAGAGCCTTCTCAGCAGTTAAGCTTTCCACCTCTACTCTCTATTTCTACACAGAATTAAAGTTATCCCAATCAGCCTCCAAATTCAACTGAACTAAGGGTCAAGCTAGGCATAGTAGATCCATGATTAGCGTGTCCTGTTAGTTTTCTAATTCGCAGCCGATGTGGCTGCTTTGAAGAAATGGCATGGGAGGAAAGGGCTAGACCCCCCTCCCTCAGCAATAAGCCCCTGAATTTCCGTCACCCCCTCCCCAAGCTTCAATAAAGTCCACAGGTGGACAAAAAATAAAAAGAGGCTAATGCTGTGCTTTGTCTTTTATCCTCAGCTGAACTAATAGCAGCGTTGGAGGACTGGAATGGGGAGGAATTTAGATCAGGGAAACAACGTGAGGTGAAAGGGATTAAATCACCACTTTCCAAATTTCAAAGCAACTTCCTAGGGCTGATACATGTAATTTTTGTTTTATAAAAATAGGAGATCTTAATCATCAATCTTCCTCATCCTGTGTAATTCGATCATAACTCTATGATCAAATGCGTCCTTGGCCTCAATGCAAGTAATGTTTTCAAATTCAAGTGGATTATTGATTTCTTGACAGAATGCTTACGGGCCCTATTCCCCCGAGGAGTGTATCTCTTTGCCCGTCTACACCAGTGCTGAGAGGGACTGCGTTGTGACTAACATTGATGTTCCGTGTGGAGGCAACCAAGACCAGTGGATCCAATGTGGAGCAGCTTTATTTTTGAAAAACCAATAAGAGGAAAGTAGACTCTGAACGTTCTTGCTGCTAGCTACTTTTTAAAATGTCCAGTTCTATTTCCATTCTTATTGCTTCATAAGTGGCATGAGGCGGATGGGCACTGAAAATAAGAATGTTCCTAACAGAAGAAAATATCATTTTTCTTCAAATATTTTTTGGAAATAACACGACGGATCATTAAAATCGTGAATAACTGGTAAGGTTGTTCAGCACAGAACTTTCATGGACAGAGCCAAAATTGTGCCAGTTAATATGACTATTGTTTGTTGTGTATTGAAGATATTGCAGATTAGCTTTTCCAGGGGATTCGAGTGTGCTGAACTGGATTTGTGAAAGGCTTCATGTGTGTCCAGATCATCTGCACAACCCGGCATGCTGAGAACTTTGGCATAAATATGATTGTCAGGCAAACTTAATTTGCTTGACTCATGCAGCCAGATACAAGGAAGCTCCTGGCTGCAGTGCCTTGATGTTTGTTGTTGAAGATTGTGTCAGGCAGCATTAAGCCTACACAGCAGCCATGCATTTTACAGGGCCAGGTTGTAGCATCTTTAGTTTTGTTACAGCTGCAGTTGTTAACTGCTGAACTGCTTACCATGGTTGCTGTAAAATTTGTTATGAACAAATTTGAAATTGCTACTGTAACACTATTTCTCTGTTTCTGCCATCGGCCAATACAAGCTGGGGACTCACAGGAGAGAGAAAACCTGTTCCTCCACAGTGGCTCCCATCTTCTTTCTTCCCAGCCTCTCCACTCCCCAGAGGAGGAGGAGGAGAAGGCTTCCCTCCATTCTACCACCCCAATTTCACAGGTCCCCACTTGTATCTCCATAGTTATTTTTTTAAAGTTTAGGAGAACTAACATTTTTATTGGAATATTGCCTAATGGTATAATAGCATCAATTTCATTTTTTTAAAAAATTGGTGGTGGCAACAAGTAGTTCTGACAGTGGTTGAGAGCTGGAATTGTGCTTTCTAACTTGTGTGAGAAAGCAATATACTGGCACAAAATGGACACAACCACATTTGTTTAGACACATATCCACAGCTCACCAAATGATTCCCTTCCTTCTTGTGACTGGTGAGCAGGATGTGAGCCAAACTGGTGGCTGCACTTGCATCGCTACCCACGATCCTTTGATTCGGTACATTTTTTAGGGTATTGAAACTCACATGGAAGAAATCTATTTTTTTAAAAACCTCAGTTTTGAATGCATCCTGCTGTGTAATGATGCAAAAATGACTGTGTGGAAGAGAGCAGGGGAATACCAAAGCATGTGTCAATATGTTGCATAAGCAAGAAGTATCCTGCAAGCAATGAGAATGGCCAATAAGTCCAAGTAATGCACAAATAGCGGCTGAATGTCACCATATCGATGGGGTCTTAGCCAGGCGTAGTACAGCACTGCCAGGTTCATGAATAACTCCATAGAGATAGAATTTTCCCTTAAGAATAACGTGGGTTAATGATCTTCCACCGTTGACACGTTCTAAATTATCACTGGAAAAAACCAGACATTTTTACAGTTCCATTCTTATTAACGTGTTATCAAAGCTGTTTTCACAGGAATAATTAACAAATTAGATGGTACAAACAGCTCCCCCCCCCTTTTTTGGTGAAAAGAAATCTTGGAGACACCAGTCAGGAGACAAATGGGGCTTGCTTGTCCATGTGGCCATCTGAATAGAGTTGTGTCCCACTACTAACCTGCTTTGCCATAGGTGGGAAAGATATTTTTGTTGTTGTTCAGTCACACAGTCGAGTCCGACTCTTCACGACCCCATGGACCACATCACCCCAGACCCACCTGTCTTCTGTCGTGCTCTGGAGTTTGCTTAATTTCATGTTCGTTGCCTCAATAACACTGTCTAACCATCTCATCCTTTGCCGTCCCCTTCTTCTTTGACCTTCAGTCTTTCCCAGCATCAGGGTCTTCTCCAGTGAGTGCTCCCTTCTCATTTGGTGGCCAAAGTATTTGAGCTTCAGTTTCATTATCTGGCCTTCCAGGGAACAGTCAGGGTTGATTTCTTTTAGGATTGACTGATTTGATCTCCTTGCAGTCCAAGGGACTCTCAAGAGTCTTCTCCAGGACCATAATTTGAAAGAATCTATTCTTCGGCACTCAGCCTTCCTTATAGTCCAACTCTCGCAGCCATACAGTACTACCGTGAATACCATTGCTTTGACCATCCGGACTTTTGTTGGCAGAGTGATGTCTCTACTTTC